CCCCAAAACCCCAAAACCCCAAAACCCCAAAACCCCAGTCTAAGGAACTCTAAGTTAAAATTATAAAATTTTTATAGTGCAAAAATGAAATCAATTGTAAAAGCCACCACTGATGGTATCGATTATGGGGATATGGTCGTTTTATATTCTGCTGACAAATTTGCTAACGAAATTGTCCTTCGTAAAGGAGGGAGATTTGAATGCCATAGCGGAATTTTCCTTCACTCGAAGATAATTGAGACAGGATTTGGAAAGAAAGTGTATTCTGAGTCTATGAGAGAGTCCTTGTACGTACTCAAGCCTAGTTCCACTCTTCACACACATTGACTCAATCACAGGACTCAGATACTCTACTCACCTGATATCTCGATGGTACTCCTTCAATGAGCAATGAAGCCAGGAAGCTTGGTCATCGAGTCTGGAACTGGGAGTGGCTCTCTATCGACTTCAATAGCAAAGACTGTTTTCCCTACTGGCCATTTATACACATTCGAGTTCAATGAAGAAAGAGTCAAGGCTGCTCAAAAAGAGTTTGAAGAAATGGGATTTGATCAAAACATTACTGTCACACATAGAGATGCAATTGAAGATGGTTTCAACCTCGATATCGCAGGATCAGATGGAGAGAAGACTGACCTTGGTAATTAACATCAAAATATCTATAGAGGACAAAGCAGATGCAGTGTTTCTTGATCTCCCAAGTCCATGGAAAGGTATAAATTTTATCTAAAATGTAGCTATTGGACATGCCTATAAAGTCCTAAAACACAATGGAAGAATCTGTAATTTCTCTCCATGTATTGAACAAGTTCAAAAAGTGTGTCTTGAACTCAACGATCTCAAATTCTCACATATTAGAACCTTTGAGTGCTTAGGCAAGCCCTATGTCAGTAAGAACAAAGGATATGAATACCTTGACTACTCAGAAAACGAAGGAGAAGAAGTCAAAGAAGTTCCAGGTATTTTTTAAATAACATTACTTTAGTAGAAAAGCCTAAGAAAAGAAAGAGAGATAGAAAAGCAGTCCAAAAGAAGGAAGACATGAAAAACAGAAACAAACTCCTTACTTCAGAGCCCTCTTTCAAGATTAAGGGACATACTGGATATCTTACCTTTGCTACCTGCAACAAGACACTGGGAAGAGTTGAAGAGATTGTCCAGAAGGACCAAAAGCAGTCTGATAAGTAGAATTATCTCTTTATAACAAGCAGCCACTAACTTTATATCTTTCAATAAAATCTTGGAAGGAAGGGGTTTTGGGGTTTTGGGGTTTTGGGGTTTTGGGGTTTTGGGG